GGAAAGGATGAAATGATGGCTACCGAAGAAAAGGTTGTGAAAATCAAAGGAAGAACCATTTCTCGAAGAGAAGAAGAAAAACTTAGATTTGAGAAGGCAAAACAATTGGATGAAATGTTTGCTGCAGGTACTCTTTGCAAAACTTTACCTGGAGGTGGAAAGTCAAAAGCTGTTGCTTGCTTCTCTCTTCTCCCTGATATGGACACAATGAATACAAATTATTTAGCAGTTAACTTTGGAAGTGATAACCATTATTTGCTAGGAAAGAGAGGTCGCAAACATCAATCTGAGTTAACACCTAAGGATGCAAGTGATTCATTATTACTTATTAGGCCAACTGAAGATATTATTGACTCTGAAAAGACCAATGATGATAGATTTGTAGATTGTGCACAATATTATGTTCCGGTATCTGCCTCTACTCAAGATGAAGATGCTGTTCTCGACCCTTCAAAGAATGTTGGAAATATTGTTGAAATGGTTCGTGAATACACTGGTACAATCTATGAGAAGAATTTATGTAGTGTGAATATGTCTGCCGAGAATCAACAAAGATTCAAATTGGCAAACCGTCTGCTTGCCCGTGACAAAATGTCTCAAGCTGAAATTGAACCATGTGTTGCCATGAAATTTGATAGAGACAACTCAAAATGTTTTACACCTTCATCAAGGAAGGAGTTAACTTTAAGGTGGTTGCAAAGAAGAGAAAACGTAGAGTATTCACAAAAGTTAAATTGGCAGCCAAGGGTAATGAGGACGAAGATGTTCCATTCGAAGACATGCAAAATGTGTTGTCACGTGTGGATGAATTCCAAACCAAAGCTTCAAGCTCTTCTGGATACACTAAGGGTTCAAGATCTAACGAGGACGAAGAAGGTGGCGACCAAGACATGGAAGAAGCTCAACAACGCAATGGTGAAGATTCCGAAGAGGAAGTCAGATTAGGTATTGACGAAGAAGCAGCAACAGATGAACAACATCAACCTTCAACAAAGAAGAAGAGAATTGATGATGAGGACGAAGATGAAGAAGAAGAGGCGAACAATGAGAATCTACCAACCTCTCCAAATTCCGAAGAAGAGGCAACCAACGAAGACAAAGCTCCACAATCCGAAGAGGAAGACGAATAATTCCAAAACATTGATTCTCGAGATGATGATATAATTTATAAATTTAATTTCTTTAGTGTTTAATACTAATGACTACTTATAGTATCATCTATCAATACATTTACTTGTTTCTTGGCTTTGAAATGTAATTGGTAGCCAAAGAAGCCAATGTCAATGAAGCAATATAATTAATACGGACATCAAGCCTCTTCAAAGAGTAGAAGCTCAAGAACAAGGCAATTGCAAAGAAGATGACATTGGAAATGAACAAAGCATGTCCGGTAGCACCCAAATCGGCCAACTTTTCCTTTTCACCCAATCCTTTCTTGATGGCTCCCTTTGAGGAAGAGAGAACCTTTTCATAGGAATCACTCAAAACTGGTTTCTTACGTAAATAGTAGAAAACATAGGCTTTAGAGAGGAAGTAAGCTGAAGCGCTCGAAACAGCAAGATAGAGAACAATGGTAGCTCCTGAAAATTCCAAATTCAAAACTCCTTGGAAAAGATCTATGTTTAGGAAAGAAGAAGAAGAAATTATTATTGTTATTGATGATGGTATTGATGATGGTGATGATGATGGTGATGATGATGGTGATGATGATGGTACAGCGATACGATGACAAGGAGTGTAATTGTGGTTGTTGTTGATGGGTAATGTTGTAGTTAAAATGTTGAACGATGAGAAAGGCATTATATAATTTTGTTGATGTTTGTTTCAATTTCGATCAAATCAAGAGATTGATGCACACAAGTCAACACCAAAACCATTGAACGTGCCAGAAAAATCAAAAATTGGTAAAAACAACACGATCGCAAAAACAAAAGCAATACTAACATGATGGTAAGAATGTAGTCAACAAAGCTACAAAGTAAAAGAAAAAGTTCTTGCTTGTATCAATCGTTCTTTCTCTTTTAGCTTCTTTCACGAATTGACTCAAAATTTTATCGTCCTCCTTCTTTGATTGTTGTTTTGTGGCCATTTTTATGCTTTGATTTTTGTTTTGAAAAATTTTGAGCTGAAAGCAACAACACGTCATTCAGCGAGCAGAGCGTTTACAAAAATTTATTGGACAGCTCTAGCAATCAAGGGTGCATGATGATCTTTTGATGAACAACCAAAGTAAATGGTACTAAAAGATTTACTTCTTGCAAGATGCTGCCGAGTTGCAATACCCTTCGTTGGAGTTGTATCTCCTGCGAAGAGGTAATTTTTCGCTCAAATATTTCTCTATTTGAATTTGGCAATGATGAATCCCAAACTGCATTATGGAAGAAGATTGATGAAGCCTTCAACATTATTTCAATGATGCTACTCAAAACGAAAGAAGGGACTTACTTCTTCTCCTTCTCAATTATTTCATCAAGAGTTTCGCCTGATGCAAGAATATTTTAGGACTTTGCTAAAAACAAATATAATTGACTTACTGCACGTTTGAAATTCTTGAAGAAGATTCCTCAGCTCAGACAGCGTATTCTTGTTTGAGGCTGACATTTTGTTTTTTACAAAGCAAAGGAACCGAAGCAGTAGAGAAAGGAAGCCTCTACCGAAGCTCGGAAAGCTTGCCTACAACAACAAAAAATATCCCTTTCAGTCTTCACAAATCCATCTCCCGACCATCAACATGAGCCTTGTATACGACGAATTCGGCAGACCATTCATCATCCTGCGAGAACAAGACAAGAAACAAAGACTAAAGGGTGTTGATGCTATAAAGGTAGGTTGTAGGATTATTACAAAACGTAATCTCTCATCACACAATTTTATTCCAAAATACTTATACAAAACACTCACATCATCATCATGACCACACAACCACAACTCCATTCACTCATCATTTGCTGTTTAGTCCAATATTTATTCAGCTATCAAAGTTGTAAATACACTAAAGACATCTCTCGGGCCTAGGGGTATGGATAAGATGTTAGTGAGTCCCGATGGTGATGTTACAGTCACTAACGACGGTGCAACTATTCTCGAGAAAATGCAAGTCAACCACCAAGTTGCAAAACTCCTCGTTGAACTCTCACAATCACAAGATGATGAGATTGGAGATGGTACCACTGGTGTTGTTGTATTAGCTGGAGCTTTACTTGAAAAGTCTTTGGAATTACTCGATCGAGGTATTCACCCAACAAAGATTTCTGATGGTTATGAAAAGGCAGCTGATATTGCTTGTGAAGAGTTGGAAAGAATTTGTGATAGACTTGAATTTTCTAAAGATAATCTTGAACCATTGTTGAAGACTGCTTCCACTACTTTGAACTCTAAGATTATTAACAAATTCAGAGAAAAGTTTGCCAAGATGTGTGTTGATGCTGTTATGAGTGTTGCAGATATTGATAGAAAGGACGTCAATTTAGATTTAATCAAAGTGGAAGGAAAGACAGGTGGTAAACTCGAGGATTCACAACTTGTTGACGGTATTGTTGTCGACAAGGAAATGAGTCATCCTCAAATGGTGAAAGAAATTGAAAATGCCAAGATTGCAATCTTGACTTGCCCATTCGAACCTCCAAAGACAAAGAACAAGGGAACTGTTGAAATTGACACTGTTGAAAAGTACAATACTTTATATGAGATTGAACAAAACTATTTCATCGATCAAGTGAAGAGATGTAAAGACTCTGGAGCAAACTTGATTATTTGCCAATGGGGATTTGACGATGAGGCCAATCACTTACTTTTGCAAAATCAACTTCCAGCAGTTCGTTGGGTTGGTGGTGTTGAGATTGAATTGATTGCTATTGCTACTGGTGGTAGAATCATCCCAAGATTTGAAGAATTGAGCTCTGAAAAACTCGGTTCAGCAGGTAGAGTGCGAGAAGTTACTTTTGGTACCACTTCAGACAAGATGATTTTCATTGAGAATTGTGCAAACACGAAAGCAGTTACTATATTTATCAGGGGTGGTAACAGAATGATTATTGATGAAGCTAAGAGATCTATCCATGATGCTTTGTGTGTGGTTAGAAACTTGGTAAGAGATAACAGAATTGTTTATGGAGGTGGTTCAGCAGAGTTGGCTTGTTCCTTAAGATTACAAGATGAAGCAGATAAGGTTACCAATGTTGACCAATATGCTATCAGAGCCTTTGCAGATGCATTGGAGTTTGTTCCTCTCGCTCTTGCTCAAAACAGTGGTTATAACTCCATTGAGTGTGTCTCCAATGTTAAGGTTGAGCAATTGGAGAAGAAGAATCCACGTCTAGGTGTTGATTGTATGAATAGAGGTACTAGAGACATGAAGGAACAAGGAGTGTTCGAAACATTGGCAGGAAAGCAACAACAATTAAGACTTGCTACTCAAGTTGTAAAGATGATTTTGAAGATTGATGATGTCATTATCAACCAAAGCACTCAATTCTAAAAA